CCCACCCCCTACCCATTAAGCCCATTTTTTTAGACCTGAAAAACAAATCCCTCCACATATATCTGCATGATCCAGCAAAGCAAATTCTCTCACATTAGCCGTGCCTAGAGCCATGTGCTGTCTGAGGCATCTAAATTCATCCTCTCTGTGACAGGAGGTGACTGGTGTTTCATCTCCATTCTTGTGGCCTCCTGATTTATCGTTGTATTGACCAGAGTGCCAGGGTCTGTCTGAGCTGTTTTTCTCTATAGTGTTGCTGCGTTGCATAAATCACTCTCACTTTGTTCTGCATCAGTTCAGCATGGTCTTCCCAGTTTCCTCGGAAATTGTCCATTTTATCATTTCTTAAGGCACAATCATATTCCATTCTACTGTGTACTTCGTCGGTCTGGCCATTCTCCAATGGGACGCTCCCTTAGTTTCCACCTGTTGGCCACCACAAGAGTTGCTCTTGTCCAGATGAGTCTTTTCCTTCTTTCTTTGATTCCCCCGGAGGGTCATCTTATAAATTCAAATCAGATCTGTTCTTTATATATCTTGGAAATGAGCCCTTTGTCAGGGAGACCTTTTGCAAAGATTTTTTCCTCAGTCACTCGTTTCTCTTCTGGCACCCTGATGGCAGAATGTGGGACAGCAGCCGCTGCCAACAGTGAGGGAGGCCACAGAGAAACACAAGAACTCAAGCCCAGCAGGTCAGAGGTCATTTGGGTGTCAGGGACGGGGTGTTGGACCTGGGTACAGGTCCCACCTCTGACACTAGTTGTGTGACCAAGGTCAAGTCGCTGAAATCTGAGCCTCGTTTTCTTTGGCGTAAGATGGGGGTGATGCTATCCGTAGCTCTTTCCTCATGGGGTTGTTACAGAGTCAAATGTAATGATGGAAGGAGAGTACCTTGCGAACTTTAAAAGCTAATATAAGGCAGCATCGCTCTCTAAGTCCCTGTGACTTCCAGGGCATCCCTGTTTTCCGTACTTTATAGTCCCACTCCGAGACATCGTCCTCATCAAAATGTTCCCTGCCATGTCTGCTGTGGTGCTTGGAGGCTTCTGAAGGCCTTGTGAAGTAGGTCATCAGACTCGTTTGCATTCTGTCCAGTAGCCACTGTTTGAGAAGTCATGGAACCAGATCATAAATTTTAGAAAGATTCCCATCGAAGCTAGCTGGGATAAAAGTGTAGACCCTTAAGAAGGCTGACCTGGACCACGCACTTGTTCCTGTGGGGTGCACCTTCCCTGAGTCGATGAGTGATGCACTGCTGCTCTAGGAGATGCTTGGGTTAAAACAACAGAGCTGAGGGTCCTCTGAGGTTGTATGGGCAGGAACGATGCGGCCAGGGGTGGGGGGGGGGGCAGAGGCACTGCTGTCCGCCACCTCTGTCAGACTTCTCTGTGCGTGGAGCAGTGTGGTCAGCTTTACACACCACATTTTAGGAAGGATGTTACCAGGAGGAGTTAGCCTGGCTGGGAAGGACAGAGTCGAAACCAGACCCAGTGAGGAGCAGTAAGGAAAGCGGGACCTGGGTGCCAGCCCTCCCCTGTGTCCCTCCTGGCATCTGGCTTGGCTTCCCCCAATGCCTGGCATGCTCCTGCTCCCCATCTCGGCCTCCTGGCTTCCCTTCAGGTTCTAGCTAAAGTGCCACCATCTTTGGGAGCCTTTCCCATGGCCCTCCAGGCTGGGCCTTCCCTCTGCTGACTGTTCCCATTTGTCCTGTTTCTGTATTATGTGGTATATAGTTGTCTGCATTTCCTCTCCCTGTTGGACTGGGAGCTCCTCGAGGGCAGGGACTGTTTTTTGCCCTCCTTTGTATCCCCAGCACTTAGCAGAGTGCCTGGCATACAGCAGGTGCTTAGTGAATGCTCGGTGAACCCTAAGTCCTCTCTTTAAGCACTTGAAAGCGTGTCCTTCGGAAGAGAAACTCATTCGACTTCCTCTGCTTAGTCTCAGAGGGCAAAGCCAGGGGCCAGTGAGAGGAAGTCACAGGGAGGAGGCAGGTTTGGGCCTGATCGAGTGAGAGTGAGTCGCCACCCTCAGCTGTCCAGTAATGGACTGGGATGTCCTGGGAGAGGAAGAGCGCTCCTGTGCCTCACAGCACCCCTGAGCTCAGAGATGGGCACGGTTAATCTCTGCCAACTTATCACTTCATTTTACTCCTCTGCTTCAAGGTTCTGGCATTCCACTGATGTGGGCATGCCCTCCATTGTATCTGATTGCAGCCCCTCACTTACTGCCTGATCTTCCAACCATCAAGCCATCAACAAAGATTTATTGAGCACCTACTGTGTGCTGGGCCTGTGCAAGGTGCTGGGGAGACAAAGAAAGGCCAAAACAAGCCCCGCACTCAGAGGGCCTCCTGTTGAGCAGGGTTGATGTGGCCTTAATTTTCACCCCCTCCAGCCAGCCAGGTGCAGAAGCTCTGCATGCTTACTTAGCTCAGCAGCCAGTCAGGGAACACACAGTCAGTCACTGGGGCCTCCCAAGAAGCCTTTCTCCCTTGGCAGGACCTCCCAGAGCCTGGCTCTGCTGGCAGAACTATGGAGACCCCAGGGTAACCTCCCTCCATGGTGGCATTTAGCACAGAGGCGGAAAATAAATTTGCTAAAGAGAATATCCTGAATGTCTTTAACTCTGTAGTGACTCTAGTACGAATGTACAAATTCAAGCATGGAAATTTTTAAAATATTCATTATATACATAATGATTATACAGTTAGCTGAGATGAAAGTGCACGACCGCCCAAATGCAGGATTTCCTTTGCTATCCTAACACACATACGCACACCTAGTGAGTGTACTTTTAACTCAACTATAAATTAGAATCAATCGAGACCTTCTCTCTTAATTGATAAGAAACAACTTTAGATGGCAGGCAGAAAAGTCATCACATGCTTCAATTCATTTCTTCTTTGTGAGGAACCACCCCCACCACTACCCCACTACTGGAGGTGTTGACTGAAGGGCCTCAGGCCTTATCTGGAGAGTCCCAGTGACCCCCGAGGCCAAGAATAGCGTGTTTGGTGCACACCGGTGGGGCGCGGGCTGCCCTTTTACAGCGTGTTTGTGTGCAATGAGTCACTCCCTCCCTCTGCAAAGCCCAAAGCTCAACCAGCCCGGGGAGGGCTTTGGAGGGAGGACGGGACCTGCTTGTGATGAGTAGCTGGTGAGGAGGGGCCGCGTTCTAACAGCAACAACAGTGATTCCCAGCAGTTGTTTGGGAAGATACTGAGTGCGAAAGAAAACGCTCCTTGTTTCAGTTCATCTCTTCAATTGCTCCTAATATCGGCCCCTGCTCCAGAGCCTGGCTAGCCTGCCGTTACACAGGTTAACACACAGCACCACAGATATACAAGGAATAACCGTTAACATCACCCTCCTGCCCCCATGAGGCAGCAAGGCCCATAAGGGCCAAGACCATGTCCTAGCTTCTGTTTTCTCTAAACTCTAGCATCATGCCTCATGCATAGTAGCCCCTAAATGGTGAGTGAATGAATGAATCTAAGCATTTTTTTGTCTTACCTACTCTGTGTAAGGCACTGTGCAAAAGGCTAAGGACGCAAAGAAAAGACAAAAACATTCCCTTCCCTTAAGAAGCTTATACTCTACTGGGGGAAGGAGGGAGGGAGGGAGGGAGGGAGGAAGGAAGGAAGGAAGGAAGGAAGGAAGGAAGGAAGGAAGGAAGGAAGGAAGGAAGGAAGGAAGGAAGGAAGGGAGGGAGGGAGGGAGGGAGGGAGGAGGGAGGGAAGGAAGGAAGGAAGGAAGGAAGGAAGGAAGGAAGGAAGGAAGGAAGGAAGGAAGGAAGGAAGGAAGGAAGGAAGGAAGGAAGGAAGGAAGGATGCAGAATACTGTTTTGTAGCCAGTGTTGAATAAATATTTGTCAAAGTTTAGATACTTGAATTGAGATATTTGTACCATTGCAGGTAAAGATGAAAATGTGTTTGCAGCATGCAGAATTTCTGAAGTTATGTAATGAATCATATCATCCAGTACAGGTGTAATTGTTTTGAAAAATCACCTGGATGGGTTCTCATGGCTGTGTCCAAACTAATAGCGATTTGAGGAATTCCCTTTCCTGTTAGAAGAAAGGCTGAAACATGTTGAGAGTGAGCCATCTAATGGCAGCTCACAATTCTTTCATTCTTAATAATAAAAACCAGAGAAGTCAAACTGGCCTGGCCGGCATAGCTATCGGAAGAAGCTTTTCAAAAACTACATTTTGCCTACATAAAGACCCACACTATACTGGGTGTGGCCACGCCCTGTCTATGAGCTGACAGCACTCTGCTGGGTCTGACATGGGCTCTGCCCTGAGGCAGCCGCTGCCACCACCGCTGCTGCTGCTGCTGCTGCTGCTGCTGCTGCTATCGCTGCTATCCCAGCCCTTCCCCAGCTGCCCGGTGTGATGGCCAGGGAGAGGTACCTTCAGTAGCCCGAATGACCCTTCTCCCTCTCCATAGTATACTTTTAAACAGTCTCTCACTGTTGCTACAAAGTGCATCAGAAAAAGGCTTCTGAAAACTCCCCATCCTCCGATCCCCCTCTCAAGCCAATAGCCTTCTAACAGCTTGGAAATTTAAATGGAGTGCTGGGGGAAAGTGCACAGTTTGACTCAACAAATCGTTGCTTCGAAGCCAAGGAGATGGGAAATTCACAAAGCAGACTGAGGTAACTGCATCATAGCCAACCTTGAACATGGCAGGGTTCACTGTATAAGTCTGGCTAACAGCCAGCCAGCAGCCACCTGGGGAGCCAACATGCTTCCTTTTCCGTGGCATTTCAAGAGCCAGGCTGGTGCCAGACTCAGACAGATGACAGGGCCAGAAGAACATCCCTGTGACCCCCAGGCCATGCGCTTACCATCAACAGTTCTGAAAACAATCTGAAATACTTTTGCTTGAAATTGAACCTCTAGGTTGCCATTTTGACTGACCTCTCTTCTTTCTTCCTCTTCTCTTCCATCTCTTTCTCTTCTCTCCTCCCTTCCTTCTCTTTCTTTCTCTCTGTCAGCACCACCAAGGGAGATGTATTTTGCTACTACGGAAACCGAGGTGAGCAAGAGCCTATCATATTAACACCGGGTGAGTTATCGTCATAAAATGAATGTTACGAATATTGTGCTTCATTTCACACCCATTTTATTAATGGATGACTTTTCAGTAGCCTGGTAGAGAAAAAGCATTTGACTTCCTATTTCATTCTTGTCTTCTCTTGTCATTGTAATCTCTTTTTAGCAATGATAATAGCTCTTGTTTACATTGTACAAAGTGTCTTCCTAAAACTAGTCCTGTGACTCCAGCAGCCAAGTATTGTTGTCCCTGTTTTACAGAAGAGAAATCTGAGGCTTGTTGGGGCGAAGTGGCCTGCCCAGGGCCACAGCCCCTAAGTGCCAGGGCTGGGATGTCAACGGGGGTCTCCCGACCGTAGGCCTGGCTCTCGTTCTGCCATGCACGGCCCCTCAGTCAGTTTCCCTAGATGCGGCCTCCTCACTAATGGTCTCCAGCAAACTTTACTGTTTCTGCCTGTTTTTATTTTGGAACATACAGGTATTCCTTTTCCAGCTGATTACTCAGTCCTTCAGGATTGACTGGTTGATGGACCTTTTTAAAGATATTGTCAAAGAGGTAAAAATGTGATTGGAAAAGCAGTGGGTGAGTCACCTGGTGAGAGCTAGGGATGATCAGTGGAGAGCCCGCGTGCCTGTTGGCACCCGTACCCTGAAGGCCCACCATGCTTTGGGCAGACCCCCTGTGCTGAACTTGGGGTAGGGCCCAGACAAAGCTGCACCGGATGGACACGTCTGAATGACCTACGTCCTGAAGCAAGGGCCACATTGATGAGATGGCAGAGCTTCAGGAGTCCTGAGTGCTGTCCTCTCCATTAGATGGCCTGAGCTCTTCTGCCTCTCCTCCTAGAGTCAATTTTCCCTCCCACTGATCATTTTTAAGTCTTTTCTGGGCACTCCAAGGAATGCTTGCTCCTTTAGAGCCTCCCAAGACTCACCCTAGAGGCCTGTCCCTCTCCTGCTGCCGTGAGGGGCGTAGCTTCCCACAGTGCACTGGTGAGAATCCCTCCATGCTCTGCCCTCGTCAGACTTCTCCTGGGGCACTCTGTGTGCAGGTCTGGGCAACACAGTTTCTCGGCCTTGATGAGCCACAGGGTATCCCGTGGAGGATCTGGGCCCGTGTAGCCTAGAGAGGAGAAGGTGTGGGGGGACTCCATCCATCACTGTCTCCAGCAGATGACACTCTTATCACTCAGGAAAAAAAGGTTCTTCTTGCTCTGGTTGGCCCTTGAGCCCAGAACCAACAGGGGCGGGTTTAGGCTTGAAGTCAGGGGAAACGGTAGCAATGTTGGTGTTTTCATGGAAGGTTCTTTTCAAGTATGGGCTGGACTAGATCCTGAGGGCCCCTCTAGTTCCAGAAGTCTGTGCTTCTGCAGTTCCACTACATCCTTTGTGGGGTGTGTGATTTAAATTTTTTAAATTTAATTTAGCAGTTATTTTTTATTGTCCAGTCATTCAGTTGTGCCCAATTCTTCATGATCCCATGGACCAGGTCATGCCAGGCCCTTCTGTCCTCCACTATCTCCCAAAGTCTGTCCAAGTTCATGGTCATTGCTTCCATGACACTCTCTGTCCATCTCAACCTGGGCCATCTCTTTCTCCTTTTGCTCTTAATCTTTCCCAACACAAATTTACCAGCCAAAATAAAATTTAACCATTGAAATAAAGATGTTCCAGCCTGGCCCTGAAAGGATTAACTCTCAGCCTTCTATAACTTACTCCTGTAAATCATCCCCCAAGTCCAAAGTTGGACTCTAGTTGGGGTTACTTTGACACAAGCCAAACAAAAGTTAAGGTTTCCTGCACCCTCTGAGGAGGTCGTAGCACTGGGGATGCCCAGGTGTCCCCAGGTGAGAGATCATCTGGGAAAGGGCCAAGGAAGAAGAAATGAAGAAGAAGGACTAAGGATTCCCTGCAAGGAGGCCCATTGACCTTGACATAAACCAGAGAGAAGCCACTAGCTTTGTGGGAGGTACATGTCTCCAGGAGATGACAGAGACCCTCCCAAGGTTCATCCACAACTACCCACCTCTAATAATGCATGTGGGACTAAAGGATGCTGCCAGGAGGAATCTAGAAAGCATTGCTAAGAATTAGAAGGTCTTAGACAACAAACAGGAACCTTTGAATGGATGTCTTATTGTGGTACTGTCTGAGAATGGGTTTGGGATGTTTGGACCAAGCATCATCAGAGAAACGTTTGGGGCCCTTGGCTAGGTAGGGAATCCGCCCAACAAGAGCTTGTAAGAATTATGTTTGCCTAGAGTCTTCCAAATCTAGTCAAGAAGGCTGTAAACTAAATTGGAAGGGGAAGGGAGAGGTTGCTGATGTAGACCAAACCGAGGTCTGCCATACCATGGAGCCTGGCTGCAATGGAGAAGGAGGAGCAAAGGTAGAAGACAGGGACAGGAATGCACAGAAGATGCCACCCAAGGAAGGAGCCAAGAAATCCAGCTTGGAGAAGATGCAACCCAAGAAGGTGCTGCGAGAAGACAGCAAGATACAGAAGACAAGTCTCTAAAGAATAATCACGAGTGTTAGACAAGAGGCAGGGGAGAGAAATGTGGTGGGTAGGAGCCGGCTGCACCATGGAGCAGAGGAGATGGCAGGGAACAGGTCCTGGCAGCCCTCAGAGGCCATCACGTCCAAACCCCCTCCTTTGACAGGTGAAGAAGCTGAGGCCCACAGAGAGGAAGTGACTTGCCTGAGGTCTCAGAAGAATGAAGGATTTGAAACTGGGTCTTCTGGCTCTGGAATCAGTGTTCTTTCCAAGTCTATGCTCAGAAGAGGATGAAGAATGATGGGGGACAGGCACAGGCCCCAGAACGTGAGATGGGCCCGCGGTCTCACACTTTAGGGGGAACGTGGATGACATGGGAGGAGTGCAGGATGGACAGATGTGGACAAGGCACAGTCTGCTTAGTTGGAGGGAACTTTCAAATCAGCAAGATCCCAGATCCATTTGAGTGAAAGTCACACAGGAGATGGTGGCTGTGGCAGGTAATAGAGCACAAATCCCAGAGCAAGACGTGATCCCAGATCACAAGGAGCAGAAACTCTAGAGCTCAGAATGGGCAAAGAATGCAGGATGAGGATGCTGTTCATAGAGGAGAGAGGGCCGAAAGAACTACTCAAACAGCTCCTACTTTATTTTGCCGAAAGAGAATCATTTTGGGGCCACAAAGGACATAAAAATATGGCTAATAAAGAGATTAAGTCCAAGATGAGTAGGGAAAGAGTAAGAGAGCCCTGGGTGTTTTTAAGGAGTCCAAGTGACCAGGACTAACAAAATATATGCCAGGGTGCTGAAAGACCAGTGAATGTCAGAGGAAAGGCAGCTAGGTCTTGTACAAAGACCAGTGGACTTAGAGTGGGGAGACAGTGGTTTGAACCCTGCCTCAAAGACTCCCTCGTTTGCTGTGTGACTGTATAGCAGTCACTTTGCCACTTAGACCTCAGTTTCTTCATCTGTAAAAGGTCCACTTGTACTGCTTTCTGCACAAGTCTGTTTTGAGAAAGAGCTTTTCAAACCTGAAAGTATCATGTCAGTGGGAGTTATTATTAAAATATGATCGTTGCATCCCCACACTGATGCTTGAAAGAGCATAGCGACTTCCTCTTTTTGTTGGTGAGGTGGACAGCTATGGATGTCGAATGTTGCATGCACTGTTGGATGCAGTCATGCCAGTTGGTTTTGCTTTCCTGTGGAAGAGTGGTTAGAATTATGCAGGGCCTCAGAACAACCAGCGTGGATGGAGGTTGTCAAGATACGAATTTAGAGTAAATAGAGAAAATGCTTCCCAACAACTGGAGGCATCCAAGTGATGGTGTTTTCTCCCTTATTGGCAGTCGCCCAGTCTAAGCTGAATGCCTCTTCTGGGGGATGATGTCAAGGGGATTCCAGGACAGAGGCAGGTTGGGCTGCGTGGGCCCAGAGGTCCTTTCCAACCCCAAAAGTTGATGTTTCTGTGACAAGGTGGGGCAGAGTAGGCTAGACAAGAGCACAGTTAGGTGATTAAAGAAAATGACTCAATGACTGGATCTCAAAGAAGAGACCAGTGATATCTGCACATGAGCTTAGAAAGAGGTCTCCAGGGGACTGCCCCAGGAATCTGGGCCATTTACCATCGTGATCAGCTACTTAGATAAAGGCCCATCTGCAAATGATACTAAGCTGGGAGGGACAGCTAACTTAGTAGAAGACTAACGTCAGTAGTGAATCCAATGAGTTGGAATTCAGAAATATTTTGCCAGGCCAATATGTTGGGCCAAATGTAATAAGATGAAATCTATTAGATATAAACATAGTCATACATGTAGGTTTTTAAAATGAACTGCACACATACCAGATGGGGCTGGCAGGGCTAGGTCGCCATTCCTCTGAACAAAGTGTTTCCAATAGCAGTTCTCTCAGGTCCCTTCCAGCTCTGACTCCTAGAGCCCGAGCTGAGTTCAAATGCCTCACATTTTATACTGGGAAACCAGCCCCAGGCAATGCTTTCACTTATTAAAGCCCTATTTATTATATATTATATTATTGTATCTAAATATAAGTGTAATAATATAGCATGTATTATCTATAATTTATAATTATATTATTATAATATATAATTAATATGATCATATATTGAAGCATATTCAAGGCATAAAGCTACATTTAATGATTAACTTAAAAAATGTATATGGAAATGTAGGCATGAGCTATGGATTTGCTAATTCTTCTTCTCTGCAGCCAATATTAACCAGGTTTTGATTAATTATCATGTATTACAGATGTTCATAGCATTGACCCTCATTAGCCAACACACTTAAGATACAAGAGAGAAGACAAAGACCAGTTCAGGGCCAGACCTGACTCGAGCCCTCTGGTGTTTCAGACCCAGCATTAGAAGTTTATTAACAATCGCTTGGGAAGGATAGTCAGCAAAGATGCAGCACTGGTTCCAGGGGATGCAGTTCCCCTCATCCCCTTAGAGAGACAGGTCTGATCAGGTTTCTTGGGGAGGAAATCCGTCA